CTGAACAAATCAGAAGATTTAGGAGAAAGAGGAGGAGAAAAGAGGAGGGATGAGGAGAACATCAGGTATCAGGAAGATTTAGTCAGGGGAAGTATAGAGGAGGCCAAGAAAAGAAATATCTTAAAGGAGGAAGCCAATACAGGTTTTAAGAGAAATTAGGCACCAGGGAATACCCAGAGATCACAAAGATGACCCCAACTAAGAAACTAAGCAATAGTGGTGAGGCTACATTAAATTCCCTTCCTCTATAATGAGATTGATGACTACTTTAAATGTCGTCATGGAGCCTTCATCCAGTGGCTGATGGAAGCAGAAGCAGAGATTCACAGCTAAGTAGTGAGCCAAACTCCTGGAATCCAGGTGTAGAGAGGGAGGAGTAATGAGCAAGTTATTTTAAGTTATTGTTTAAAGTTGTCCAAGAGACTCTGGAAACATCGGGCCTATTGTATTGCCCTTGGTTGTTCTCCAGAGGTGGAGGATAAATCCCTATTGCTAAAGACACCATGTACTTCAGACACACATCTAAATGACCCTAAGTAAACTCAACTAAATGTCTCCTCCCTGAGGACTAGTTTTCATGGCAGCAGAAGATATCATGTAAGATTCCAAAGGAGGGAAAAATAAAAAACAGTCCTACTCAACTGTGACTCTTATGAACCACAACAAAGACCAACATAGGATGATAATCCTAAAGGTGCAATAGTGCCAAGAATAATTTGGTGATGACCAACAAATCTCTAATCTACTTAATACCTCCTCAACAATAGGAAATCTATGCCTGGCACTGGAACCTCAACCAATTACACAGGGCTAGTTGAGGTCTTGGATGAGAACCTACAACCACCATTTTACTAAACTAGCATAATACCTAACCAAATATGTGTCCTTATATATACAGATAAGTGAAGTCTTCACACATCATCAAGGAAACTTCTCTTTGCAACAGATAGAGACCATTACATAAAACCCCAGCCACAAAAATACTGAGCTATGGAGCTATGTCACAATGGGTATAGCTACAAAACAATTCTGGCACATTGCAGAAGAGAGTAAAAGATTGTAAGAGCTAGGAGATCAGGGGGTTTGCTGTGAGGCTGTGTTTCTTAGTAATTTCAGAAGCTACACCCATAATATCTCATCAACACGAGTGCCAAAAGATGAGTTGAATAAAGACAACAATAATAGACATGCCAAAATAGAAAGCCCACAATGCCTCAAACTACACAAAGAACTACAGACAACAAAGGAATGTTGAATGTGAGAAAAATAGCTTTCCTGGAAGAAGAATATACAAATATATTACCTGATAGCAAATGTTCATCCCTGAAACATACATACAAGTACATTATATAGACAAAGCCAGTTATTTAAAGTTTGTCTCTGTGTGAGTGTGTGTGTATGTGTGTGTGTGTGACCACATTAAGGGAAGAAGATGCCATGAGTATGATCAAGTAAAGAGAAATATATAATAAAATTTGGAGGGAGGAAGGGGAAGGGGAAATGGTATAACAATATTATATTCTCAAGAAAAAGGGAAAATGTCAAAAATAATAACCCATCATTTCATCTTTTAGGGCCATCTATGATCAACAAAACCCTACTCAGGAATTTTAAGGTTAATTCCTTATCCTTAGTCTCCAAAACCACCCACCTCACAACCCAGGCCTTCTCATTTGAATTCTTCAATTTTCCCTTGATGCTACGGTTGGAATAAAAAAGCCTATTACCCTGGTCCTTCATCTCTCTCCTGACACTGGGACCCTCTCATGATGCATAGCACTCATGTTTTCAGAAAAATAATACAAACACGGAAAATTGCAACACATTATGCACTCATTCAATCTAAATTTTTAATGTCTATGTTATTAAAACCTCCTCTAGTACATTTGAAGAGAAGAACTGATTATGGGTCTGAGAAATGCTAAGCAATGGCCTTTGCTGACTTGCTCCACTCCTGGGGTGCTAACAGATCCCCAGACTGGTAACGGGATGTAATCTATAGAAATTAATCATTATGTTCTGTTTTCACTATGGAGCATTTAGATATCATTAACAAATCATGATAGACAGGAGGTACTAAGTCCCTGTCTTCCCTAGCTAGCACCTGGCTCTTGCTTTCCTGGTCACTTTTTAGTTTTATTAGGGTTGAAAAATCATAATTCGCTACATAACCAAGCCCAGTATCGAGAAAGCAAGGATTTGGAGCCCAAGAAGATGCAGAATTTGGAGTGAAGACTATATTAGAGAAGTATTGAAAAATGCATTTTCCAGAAGAACTCACCAAACAAGGAATTTGGGGAACAGGAGAATGAATTTGGAATATTATATACTACTGTCTTGTTTGAAATAGTATGATAGCCAATTTTTCCTGCAGAACCATAGAATAAACTATTTGACTTGCAACTCATAACTATTCAATGATCTTATTGTGAAATAAGGATTATTATTTCCCCCAAATTTGTGGGCTTATTCAGGATTTCTGTATTTGGGAAGAAAATCCATTGCTCTTTGGAAAGTGGGAGATGTGTGCTGCCTCACATAAACTGTAGCTTTTAAATGTCATGTTTCTCCTATGTTCTTTATATTTGGTCTAGATACTGCTCATGAATTTTGTTTTGGGGACTCACTGAAAGAGCTCTCTTTAGAAGTTCCTCTGAGCCCCACCATTTCTTTCAAGTGACTATCTCTCTCTCTATTTATCTTGTTTCTATTACTATGAAGCACCTTCCAGATGCTTTAAAGGGAATTCTCTCCTTGGTTTTAAGGGCCCATCATGTTTAGATCTCTGTATATTGTATTGTTTCTTTCTAATGCTCTCCCACCTTGAGGCCACATGACAGACTTTGAGTCCTTCCACCTAATAAACATCACAGCTAATGGAAATTATGAGTTATGTGTCATCTTCCTTTCTGGGATGGGAGCTGTTGTTATCTATTCTTTTAATTAACAAATGTCTTCTATAATCAAAACCACAATGTGTAGTGTTGGTGTAAAGGTTAATAGAACACAGTAAAAAAATAAAAACTCCTGGAAATAAAACGTTCATTTATATGGAGATGACTAACTTTTAGACCCAAGTTCAAACATAATCCAGTGGAAAAAATACAATTGAAGTTTCCATAAATAGTCCTGCAACATTTGAAGTCATATGAAAATGAATTTTTGAGTAAGGTTCATAAAATTAAATTTTAAATTAAAATATGAAACAAAATTAACTAAAAATTATCTTGGATGGAACTATTAACTTGCAACTGTAAAATCTATGGGAACAATAGCAGAAAGTTTTCGTGAGTTTGAATTGAGCTAAGATCTCTTTTTAAATTTCACTTTTTGAAGCAGTATCTGACTATATGTAACTTAGCCTGCCCTTAAATTCATAACCCTCCTACCTCAGCTTTCAGAGTGCTTAGACTATAGGGATGTACTATCCTGTCAGCAGCAAAGGTCTTTTATATAAGACAATGGAAGAACAATCAGTACATGAATAAATTAATACACTGCATTTAATGAAATGCCTATTTTTACAGGGGAGTTGTTAAAACAATGAAATGGTAAACTACACCCTGAGTGAATATTTTAATCCTCATATTTCATAAAGGACATGTATTTGAAATACACAAAGCACTTCAAATCTCAATAATAAAAAATAACACATCGCAAAACAAAAACATGGTAAAAGAAAGTAAGTACATGAAAAATATTCTGGGTAGCATTCGAAATTTAGCAAATGCAACTTAATCAAAGTAAGGCACCATATAAATTTAATAAAATAATATACAGCAAAAGGGGAGAAAATGCCACTTGTTAATGAAAATGCAGAGAATATGAAACACAAACCGGAAATGTGAACTGCTAAAGAATGGAAAAATACAACCATTTTCAAAGCATAAAATATGCACTAACTCTCCAGATATTTATTTGAGATAAATTAAACTATAGGCACACACACACACACACACACACACACACACACACACACACACACAGAAACTGTGTTTGTAATGTCCTCCCAACTGATAACAGCTCAAATATTTATCAACACATGAATGATGTAAATTACAGCACCCTCATATAATATATTCATATCATGAAATGTTACCAAAGAATGAAGTATAATAAACTACTGATAATAATACAAGTTAGATATATATCAAAGCAGTTATTAAGAGAGCAATAACCCTTCTATGTCCTACTATGTGACCACTGAGGGAAAGCAGGCTGGTCTAGTTATCCAGAGTGAGGCATTGTATCATAAGGAAAGTGATAGAGTATTAGAAAGGCTCTCTAAGGAAATACTTGGCAGAAGGCACAAGTTTGTTATCTTGATGATGGGATGATCATACAAGTATATGTATGTGTTAAAACATATTTTTATAATACAACTGAATGACTTGATAGATGTTGATTATACTCCATAAAGGCTGTTCAAAATAATTTATCAATGAAATTTGTCTAATTTATTATTAATTTTGATATGAAAATACCAAGAGCTAATTTATACATTGCTGAAATTATTGAAGCATTTTGGTTTTCTTCATTTTTGGGAAGGATAAGGTTTTGTTTGTTTGTTTTGTTGTTTTTTCTTTGTTTTTTGAGACAGGGTTTCTTTGTATTGCTTTGGAGCCTGTCATAGAACTCACTCTGTAGACCAGGCTGGCCTTGAACTCACAGAGATCCACCTGCATCTGCCTCCCAAGTGCTAGGATTAAAGGAGTGTGCCACCACCATCCAGTGGGTGATCAGTTTTATGATGAAGCTTGATCAAGCCTGTATATGAGGCAAAATAAATACCAATTCAATTATCCATTTTTCCACTTGACTTTTTATTACTCATCAGCCTTGATTTCATTTATTGTTAAATATGTAAAAAATAAATAAATATACTCTATATCCCAGATCAAAGGTACCAACAAAGGAACTATTGCTACAGCATAAGCAACAGGAGTAGCTCTGAACTGGACTAAAGCCCAGGTTAGTTTGTGAAACCCACATCTGCTGAATCAGGTGGAGAATCGCTGTTTGCTTCTTATCAGAGCTTGCTTGACATCTTTGTTCCTCAGACTGTATATGAGGGGGTTCAACATAGGAATGACAATAGTGTAGAAGATAGACACCACTTTGCTCTGCTCCATGGAAGAGACAGCACTGGGCTGTGCATACATGAAGAAAACAGTACCAAAAAACAAGCACACACCAATTAGATGGGAGGCACATGTAGAGAAGGCTTTCTGGCGTCCCTGCACTGTGCGGATCTTCATTATTGTTGAGATGATATAGATGTATGAAACAAAAACAGTCAAGAAGGTACTGATGATAATGGAACCACATAAGCCAAGAAGAACCAGCTGGTTCATAAATGTTTCTGAACATGAGAGAGTTAGTAGTGGTAGGACATCACAGAAGTCATTGATTTCATTGGACCCACAAAAGAACAAAGTGAAGGTCATTGTGGTTTGAGTGACAGCATTCACTGCACCCCATGAGTAGGACCCTGACACTAATAATCCACAGACCCAGTGAGACATACTCGCAGAGTAGAGAAGAGGATTACAGATGGCAATGAAGCGGTCATAGGCCATGGCAGCCAGGAGAAAAGCTTCTGTAGTACCAAAAAAAGACAAAAAAAAGAATTGTGCAGCACACCCACCAAATGATATTGTGTGGTCCTGTTTCAAGCAGTTTATCAGAGCTCTAGGAGCAATTGTGGAAGAATAGCAGATGTCCAAAAAGGAAAGGCTTTGGAGGAAGGCATACATTGGAGTGTGCAGGTGTGCATCTATCTTAATAATTACAATCATGCCAAAATTTCCCACCACTGCTATAACATACAAAACTAAGAAAATCAGAAATAGCACCATTTGTATCCAAGGGCCCCCTTTGAATCCAAGTAGAACAAACTCTGAGACATGTGTAAAATTTGTCATTTTATGATCACACCACAGAAGTATGTAAGAGAAGGAGAAGTCAAAGGAAATTGAAAATTTGCAAACCCAATATACTTTACTACCTACAAGACTAAATTAAATTATAGACATCTGTGTGTCATTGAAATCATTCTGTTTACAATATTGGCATACTGTGTCCCATATGCCATGAAAAAAGGAAAAGGTACAGCTGCAGGAGAAAGAAAGTGGAAACAAATAAGAATTGGCATACAAATAGTCAGCTTCTATGAACACATCGATATTATGCTCACCTCATCTTACCAGCAAAACACAAGACTGAAACTGTGAAGTATTTAAAATTGTACATTTGCTTTATTGCCAATTTTGAAAAATATGGATGTCTCAAATTCAAACTGCAATGATAAGGACTACAGAAATAGCTCAGTGGTAAAGTATTAGCTAGTAGTCCCAAGGTTGTAAATTTAATCCCTAGCAATATAAGAAAGCACAAAGACAGACATAAGCATACATTAGGCATAACTCTTGATTCAGTTCTGCATTATAATAACTGCTATGTTGGATATGCTGGGAGATGTTGGCAAGTCATCAGTACTGTGAAAAATCATTTCATTCAGAGTCCTGTGTCTCAATATCTAATATCTTACTTCTTCTATAACATATTATCTAGATATGTATAGGCTTTAGACACAAAAACCCTATTTCTATAAAGACATGACTACAGAATGAGCTCCAGTGCCCACAGTATGCATACTGCCCTTTCCCTTTAGAATTCTTGGTATTGGTGATGTTTCTATTTCCTAAGCCAGCTACTTAGCATATTCTCTTTCTAACCTCTCTGGTTTTAGTATTTCATATTTTGTATTTGTCTATCCTATTAGAGCTTAAAAGGGCCCTTATGATGACACTAAGTCCTTTTACACATTCTAGAATAATCATATTTTCTTATTTTTAATGATTATATCTGACAATTTCCTTTTTTAATGCAACATGACATATTCACAAGATCCATAAAATACGATATCCATATGCCATGAAAATATTTTTTGGACATATTGAAAGCAAACTAATGATTTTTTATTAAAATATAAGACAAAATAAATCAAACAACATATAAGTTTCTTATAAAAATTAGAACTGTTCAGTTTAGTTCATGTGGTGTCTTTCTTAAATATTTTATTCTTAAACAATTTTTATTTCACCTCTTTTCATCTCTAATACAAACTTCTTCATGAGGTAATACAGAAATAGCACATAAAAATCCATAATTTATTTAAGCATCATCTCTTAAGAAACTCTTGAACTATAGTTAATTGGGATTTTGTTGTAGAAATGAGACTTCCTAAAGAGACACTTTCTAAATCATCAAATAAGTGATGAAGCCGTGTATGTGTGAGGCAGGTATTTGTATGTATGGGGGTATATGAAATTTGGAAAATTTGTGGCTACTGTTTTTCTTGTTGCTTATATATTGCTCTGAATCTCTAATATACAAAGCTGTAACAATATGCCACAGAGAAATAGTTCAGTGTACTAGTTAATATAAGGCTCTGGTATCAGAAAGCCTGGGTTCCCATGAACTAATGTCTTATTATTATTACTTTTATGGTATCTTGACCTGTCAGATGTGTGTATTAAAAATGATGGTAACTGTAAAGACAAAAAATTGTAGGTGAAAGTAGTTTAGGGATTCTTGTCATAGAGTAAGCACAACCTCAATGCTACTGTTATTAATAGCACAAATTCAATGAATTTGTGTTGATTGTTTATGAATCAATTGTAAGACTCAGAAAAATCATGATTGATTTAGAAGTTCAAACAATTTAACTACAATTTAAATATATTTAATATAATTGGTCACAGGGTCTTTGAGAAAACATTATTTTTTCTACAAAATAGACCTCACCTAAATGTGTGATGTCCCTTTCTAGGTGATTCTTGAATTCATCTTCAACTCTGCAATAAATTATGTACAACACACAAAATTTCTACAGACCAATTTTATAAGAGATAAGTTGAAGAATATATAGTTTCCTTGGTGCTGATCATCAGAGATTTATTCCTCAGGGTTATGTATTAACAAGAAGACTTTGCTCACTTAGGCAACTTGGGAAAGTAGGAAAAAAGTCCTAGAAGTAAGGATTTGAAAGCAAAACAAAACAAACTCAAATCATAATACCTGCTTTTAAAAATAGGAGTAGTCCTTGCTTATGAACTTCAAAGATGGAGGGGGAGGTCAATCCAACACATATGCTATGAAAGTGGAGAGGGAAATACTGGAGATAAAGGTTACAGCAGAACAAGGGATAAAAAAATATAGAGAGGTGTATGGTGCAGAGTCAGACAAACTAATCATTTATTAAAATGCCATACTGACATCTATTATTATGTAATCTAATTTTAAAATATACAGGTAATAATTAAATAAATAGAAATATGAAAGTTGAAATGTCTTGCATTTTACCAGACCACAGCTGGTTGAAATCAATAGTAACACTAACTTAAGATCCTAGACAAATACATGGGGCATGAGTAATGTACTTTTAAATGAGGAATCACTGAAGAAATCAGGGGGTGAGTCTATAATAATAATAATAAGAGAATATAAAAGGGATAATAATAAGAAGGGAAGAAGTTAAGTTATTCATATTTGTAGATGGAATTGTTTGATATTTAAAAGACCCTGTGTACTTCATCAGAAATATTTTTTCTAATAAATTGCATTTAGTAAAAACTGGTAGAGTTAATATTGTGAAAATGGTTATAAGATGAGCAATCTATAAACTCAATGCAACCCCCACCTATGTTCTAATGACATCCTTCACAGAACTAGAAAAAATTGAAATTCATGGAGAACCACAAAATACCATGGATAGACAAAGTAATCCTAAACAGAAAGAGTAATACTAAAGTTATTACAGCACCTGGCTTCAAAATGCACAGTGGAGCCATAGTGAGAAATACAGCATCATACTAGCACACAAACAGGTAATGGGAGAAAATGGAAGACATGCTTGCCCCATTATTTTGAAAAAGGTGCAAAAATAGAAATTGTGGGGAAAAGACTATTAAAAATGCCATAAGCAAAACTGGTTATCTACTTGCAAAAGAATAAAATTAGATGTGTATTTCTCACCATACACCAAAAAAACATTCAAAGTGTACAGAGGCCTTAATTTAAAACTGAAATCCTGGGTCTTGTGATTGGGGGATTCAGCTCAGTGGTAGAACAAATTCAAGGCCCTGGGTTCCATCATTTGCTCAGGGGGTGAGGGCTGCAGTAGTACTGAAACTGCTAGGAATATGGGAAACAATTCATGATATAAGCATAGGTAAGACATATGAATACAACCCAACTAGCATAACAGATAATTCAAATAATAGACAAGTGGGATTATATGAAATTTAAAGGCTTCTGCACAGAAAAGAAACTGTCAGAAGAGTGAACAAGTAGCCTATAAAATGGGAAAAAATCTTAGATATCTGTAGATCAGAAAAAGGTTAATAACTAGAATATATAAAGAATTATATTTGATATGTGGCCAAATGGAAATAGAAAGATAATTCTTAATAGAAGAAACACAAATCATCAACACATAATTTTTTTTTTTTTAAAAAGCATTCACCATCTTTAGTCTTTCGGGAAATTAAATAATAGCATGACTATCATCAAGGAAAAAAGGGATAAATGCTAGTAATAATATTTGCAAAGAGGAGGAGGGTTTTTAAATTGACACTATGGAAATCAAAATGGAGATTCCCTAAAAGCCTAAGAAATAGCATATTACTCAATGATATTATGATTGCACATATAACCAAAGATTCTTATAACAAGAAAAATAAAGACACAGAGACAGATATTGGGTTTCAAGCTTCAAGCAGTCAGCCACTAGCTCTTACCTCTACCTCAGACTGAAAGGGTTGATCCTGTCCCCACAAACTCTCCTCCTCAGACTGCTGCCCCTCCTCAACGTGACTGGAGACAAAATCTTTGAGATTGACTTTGCTTCTTCCCTTCATACCTTTCTCTGCCCAGCCATATCACTGCTGTCTAGTGCTGGGACTAAAGGAATGTGATCCCAACTGCTGAGATCTCTTTTGTGTGAGCAGTTTCCCTTTCAGACTGATTCAATCTTGTATAGCCCTGGATGGCCTTCAACTGACAGAGAGAGATCCATGTACCTCTGTCTCTTGAGTCCTGGGATTAAAGGTGTGTGCCACCACTGCCAAGCTTCTATGGCTAACTAGAGTGGCTTTGCATTTTGATATATAGGCAATATTTATTAAATCATAAATAATAAATCACCACAGATTCTATATCCTAACACAGAGATATTTGCATTTCCATAGTTAAAAATGTTATATTTGTTCTGCCGGCCCACTCTGGGAACTCCTGTCCTGGGGTCTGCAGGCAGGTCAACTCAGCCCCAGAGGACCAAGCAACCTTGAGTTGTCACTTCAGAGCCCCCAAATAAACACACAAGACTTATATTAGATACAAGGCTGTCAGCCATTGTCCAGGGCTTCTCATTGGCTAGTTCTGTCTTAAGTATTAACCCATAACTACTAACATGTATATTTTTACAAGGACTTATCTAAAGGAAAACGCCAGAGTCATGTGTCCTCTCCTCCCAGGATCACATGGCAATTCCTTTTACTACCTTTCTCAGAATGCTTCTCAACTCCTAGTCCACATATCTTGCTTCCCTATTGGCCAACAGTGCTTTATTCATCAACCAATAAGACAAACATATACACAGAAGGACGTCGCCCATCATGCCTGTTAAGTTTTTGCTTAAATTAGAGGTCAAGAGATGGAAATGAGCTATAGAGAACACATTAACCAATTTATTATAGGGTGGGAGAGTGAGAGGGAAAGAGAGAGAAATAGAAGAACAGAGTAGAGTAGAGAGTAGAAGAGAAGAGAGAGAGAGGTTGACTGCCAGGAAGAGAGTAAGAGAAAGCATAAGTGAAGAGAGAGTAAGTGAGCAGGGGTCTCTCTTTTAAAGGGGTCCTCTACA